CCCCCCCCCCCCCCCCCCCCCCCCCTCCCGCCGGGCGCATTCCCAGCTCCCGCCGGGATGCGCGGCCCGGCCCGCTCGGAGCCCGGCGCTGCCCTCGCTCGCCCGTTCCCTTCCTCCCGGGCACCCCGTTCCTCGCGCTGCCCCTCCTGTGTCCCTGCTGGCCTCGTCCAGCCCTCCTCCACGCTTACTCGTTGCATTTCTCCCATGCGCTGGCTTTCCTGCACGCCTCGCGCTTGCATTTCTTCTCCTAACAGCAGGAAGCGCATTTCGGGGTTACGCAGCCTCGCACTACGTGAAGGAGCATTAATGCGGAGCCAAGCTTCCAAATCACAATAAAACAGGCAAAATTCACCCGTTTTAGTGCGGCTGGAGCCATCTCGCAAGCTTTGCTCGGGGGTGTGTGCCCCGCGAGCCCTAACCCCGCTCCGTTGGAGCCGGGATGCTTCGGCTGAGCCTCAGCATCAGATCCCCCTAACTCCCTGGTTGCTTCATTTAGAGGAATTTGTTTCTTGGGAGAGACTTCCCCTAAGAAAAAATAGTCCTTTAATGTTCAAATGAGAAGGTCAGTGATTACGAATATGCGATAGCCACTGAAAAACCATCATTCTCTGAAGGAAAGGCCACAGGGACGCAGTGCTCCGGAGAACGGGCCGCGAGGAGGATCCCGGGAGCGCTCATGATCCGGAGCCAGGAACGGGGAGGGCTTCTCTTACCCCCTAGGCCAACAGAGGTGGCTGAGGCCAGGCAAACTCAAAGCAGCCATCACAGCCCTGAGCATCACTGCGTTGCTGGAGGCGCCAGGAAAAACCTGCTCACATGGAAGCTTCTTCCTGACGGAATCTGGGGTTTAAAGAGCCTTACGCACCGGGAGTACCAGCGCGCATGGGCTTAAATGAAGATTTTTATTTAAATCTCCGGTTAAACAGTCCTGCAAACACCAAGCAGCCGCCTGTGGTGTCCCAGCACCAATTCCAGACCCTCAGCCCACGTCACGTCCAGAGCCCCGTGCAGCTTCCTCCAGAAAACCGTTCTGCAGTTAAAGGCTGCAGGAAGAGAGAAACCACATGTATTTTTAGGTCCTGATTCACTCAGGCAACGTTAAGCAGGGGAGCACTCCTCTTGCTTCAATAGAAATGAGAAATAAGGATAGAAAAGCATCTGAACTTTCACTACAGTCTAAAAGGAACAGCAAAGAGAGAAATATCCGCTGAGAAATATCCGCATAGAAGAGACCCCACACCGAAGGCTCAGGCAGAATAAAAAGAAGGGATGTATTTGTTATCTCGGAGTCACTTCTTTGAGAAGCCTGGAAGCACAAGTTAGATGCACAGGACGCGCTCGAGTTCCTGCCAGATGAGGCGAGGATTTAGATTCAGTATTAGATAGTCCTTATGTTTCCCAGCACATGTGAATTGCGCTACCCCAAATCCAGCACTTGGCACCGCAGGGAACCGCGCGGCCGGCACAGGGCCCCTTGGCACCTCCAGGGCTGCAGGCGCTGAAGAACCTCCCCAAAACCCCTCGGTGTTTCCATGCACGGAGCAGAACGGGCCTCTCGGGGCCGGTTTCCCCCTCGCTGAAGGAAGGGAGAGGAGCTCGTGGCTAAGGACGTGGTTTTGGGGCCAGCAGGGAGGGAATGCGCACGGGAGCAGGACGGGAGCCTTAGTGGGATTTACGGTGATTATAAATGTAACTCGACAAATAAATTAATCATCTCACCTAAAAACACTTAGTAAATTTTACTGGGAATTTCTAGAGTATTGTATGCATAGGGTACAATCGATGCCCAGTTTATTAAAACTACTTTGGGCGCGCTTCCAAGAAAACACAGAGCAGGAATTCCAATTAAGATGTGAAACTGGTATTTGCAAAGAGCATTTCCTTATGGAGATGCAGAGACAAGAAAAAAACGCCCCGTAAAAATATAAGGAATTAAAGTGGGGCACAGATGCCTATTCATCCCCATAACTGCACAGCTTGCTAGTCTGCCTGGGAAAGATCAATATTTTCTAATGATATTAAACAAAAAAAATACTCCAAAGGACTGCGGAACGCGTCACGCTGAAAAGCTTCCACCAGCATGAGGCTTGCAACAAAGCTGCACGTTGATGGAACAGAAATTCAGCACAGCCCCTTCCTCCTCCTCCTCTGCTTTCTGTTTTTCCTGGGGAGTGCGGGTGTCCAAACCGGGCGCAGTTATTCCTGCCTGAGAATTATCTTCGTTTTGTGGGAACAATGATCCTAATTTCACTCAGACTTATAACAAAGCAGCTCTGAATTTGATTTTAAAAGGCCTGTGAAGAAGCCATCTCTGTTCTGCTCATATTTGACATTTTAAAGTCCTTAAACAAATGCAAGCTGCATTATGACTTCTGTTTCTTAAGATAAGCCAGCCTAGGTTTGAAGTCTAAATGGAACAAGGAAAGAGCCACAGCTACTAGAATAACAAAATTAAACTTGGCAAAAGTAATGAATTTTATTTACAAATACATGGACCGGGGGTTACAACAGAAACACACGAGTGAAACTCCGTGTCAACAAAAGCAATGATTTATTGGGAATGGCATTATGGAAACAGGCTGACAGTCTCTGGCTATGGTCAAGCAATTATCCAGGAGGCGGAGATAGAAGTGGAGATCTCATCTGATTGCAGTAAGGCCTTCCAGTGTGGGCAGCATCCTAGTGGCTCTCTCCTTTTTTGCCAACTACCTGATAAGAGAAAAAACAGAAAATCATGAATGTTTAATAGAAAACGTCTTGCCAAATAGTTTTTTTTTTTAAGTTAGGCTTGCTATAAGTAAGAGCTGCTGGATTTTCAAGTGAATTAATGCACTTGAGCATGCAGCGTAGCACCTGCAAGGGAGGAGCTGTCAATGCCTGCAGGGAACTCCCCGAGGGATGGGACACACGAGGAGCTCCCGTCTCCAGCATTAATCCAGCCAGGAAAGCAGCAGCCTCATTCCCAGAGGAGTTAGGGGACAGCAGGACAGCCCACGCTATTAAAGATACATGTGAAGTCACATACCTTAACGCTCTACACAGAGCCCTGCCCTGGCAAGGGCACCACCAGCTGCTCCGAGCTGCCTCTGCCCATTCCCTTTGGCACCAAGGCCATAGGGCACCTCCACCCCAGGGAGAACACCTGCCTTGGTAGCCCCATAAGGCAGCTCAAGCCTAAATTAAGCATGGAAATCAAACCTAGGAGTCACCTGCTTTGGGGCTACCTCCTTGGCAAAGCCTCAGCCCTTCCCAAGGCTCCTCCCGACCTCCGGCCGGGTGAATTCCACCCGGGACCGGCCCGGGTCTCGCTGCACAGGTTTCCTACTGATCCTTCCCTTTTCCAGCTCTTCCCAGACTTCCAAAAGTTTTCCACCGCTCGGCTAGTTCTGGTGATCTCAGCTCTCATCTCTCTGCACAGGAATGAGATCTACTGATGGAAGCACTTTTTAAAGAAATTTTCACCCCTGCTGTGCCCTTGGCCAGGAACATTTGCACCATGTGGAAGTTTAATCTAATGTTTGTGGTTGGGAAAACTCAGATTTGACAGCGTGAGGAAAGAAAAAAAAAAATCAGAAGCCCAATCGCTTGCATTAAGATTCCATTAATCAAGTTAAAAATACAGTTAAACTTGACGCGGGGCAGTATTTACTCTTCATGTGTTTCCAAGCAAACTGTGTTCAGACTCGGATTAAGCAAAAAACAACTCCATCATTAAAGATTAGGTGTTAGCAGGTGTTTAGCATCAACGGAAGGTGCTGCTGTACCAGTCTGTGGCAGGAATGGACAACTCGCCCATGGGTATTATCTGCAAAAACCAACCACGTCGACATGGAGATTTGGTCACCACAGGATCATCCCGCCCCACTTCCCAAATAGAAAGTGCCTACATAAACACAGGGATTTTTCTCGCCATGGAAATGGAAAAAACAAAAAAACAGCAGCCCTGCTGGATTTGTTAATACCAGGAGTGAAAACAAGAGCCTCACTGAACAGCAACCAAGCTGCATGCCCTCTAAAACAACCAAAAGGAGGTTTCAAAGTTCACCCGGGGACTCGCAGGAATGTGCCTAAATAACTAAATAAGGGCAAAACCCAGAGCTCTGCCTTTACCCGCTACCTTTAGGGGCCTGCCCAACACAGTAACACAAGTCAGAAAGGTCTTGGAGCAAAAGGCAACCTCAGCTGCAGTTTGCAAAGTGATCCGCACTGTCAGGATCCTCCCTTCTCTGCTACGGGAATGCTACTAGAAACACCAAATATTCCCTTCTCCCTAGATGTAGAAATACAAAGGAAGAGAACGTACACAGTATATAAAACAAGTTTAAAAGCAGCTTTTGCAGCTGCATTCAATGGCAACCCTCGCTCATCCCGTTAATCACATTGTTCCACCGTAATTAGAAATCTGGAGCAGCGAAGAGAGCCCGAGACGAGGCGGTGAGACACATGAAAGAGGTGAGGAGCTGTGTGGGGAACTACTCCAGGACATGAAAAGAGAAAGAAGGTTTCCCAGCTCATCTACAGACCCAGGAATAATTAATGCCCAACGCTATATTAAGGTTTCGTAGCTCACAGGATCACTGGAAGGCAGGAAACAAAAGTTCCACTTCCCAAGAGCACTGTGACTCTGCCAGACTACACATCCCATTTGCTACGATAAAATATTTTAACAGCCTAGCATTAAAGCTACATGTTTAGGAAGCAAAATAGGAATATTATATATAGTGTCTGCAAGTATCTGGATTGACTTAACCCAGTAAGGTGGGCAAAACTGCCACTGAAACCAATTCTGACCAATTTGTTAATGTCACAGTGCCAGCACTGAGTTACTGTTTGCTGCCTGTAGTTTGTTCCTCTCCCAGGTTAGAGGGGGATCCAGAGGTTCTTGGGCACCTTCCTTGATCCCTGTGCGGGCTCTGGATTTGCCAGGCTGCACGGCCACTTCCACTGCTCACCGGGAACCAAGATCTTTTAAAATAAAGGCAGATGTATTGCTCTGGATGCCAAATGTACCTTACCTGAAACTGTGGAATCAGCCAAGGAATGGCCCATTTTCAAGTAGGTTTAAAAGCCTCAAAAGTGCTTTTAAAAATAATAAAATAAAATAAAATAAGAGAGAGAGAACTCACTCGTTTGAAGGAAATCATTCATATTTGTTGCTTGGACTGGAGTTCCAATAAATGTGAAGTACGTGATTCTTGTTGTCTCTTCATCACCATGATTAGATTGGACAAATAACTAAAACACAAAACAAAACACAAGAGCTAAGTTCATTAATTAACTCCTCAATGAATACATAAAATCTATTAGGCTCCCAACATTTTTGAACTAACCAACTAACACATTTTCATTTACCAAGGCCTCATTATCCTTCAGAGATGCTTTTCCATTTATTTTGTGTAACTATACAAGTTGCTACTACTATTTTGAAGTATTAAAGTAAAAATAAAAAAACCCCAACACACCCACAAATATTACTTGGGGTTTCCCCAGTTTACACTTCTTACCTGAGACTGCATGCAGCAAATATGAAAATGAGGGATTTAAGAAGTCAAAGTTCACTATTCATCTTATTCTGATTTCAAGTGAAGTTAAACATTGATTTAACTCTGTTTGCTTAAGCCCACAGGACTACTTTTACTTTGTTACAATGACTTCGTAATTACGTGTTTTGCAGGATGAAAACTGGATCTTTGAATTCAAGGCTGCAAGTATGAAGCTTGCTTTAAAATACAAATTAAGGACCAAAAGCAGATCTGCTCGGACCTTAGTTAACACTGGAACCACTGCACTTTAGCGAGCATAAAAAGATAAACTGAGTAAAAGACAAAATACATTTGACTACAGTATTTAAGAACCCTGCAGGGAGCAGTTACTGAGTTTAAAGTCCTAGTAAATACTTCGTATTTAGGGGGAAATGGCTGTCTCATTTCAATAATCTGAAGAAAACAGGTTTCCTTGACTCCCAAACTCTTTAAAAGAAGACAAGATGCCTCTCCAGAAGGCATGCTAGTAAAAATGCTGTGTTAAATAGCACACTAGCCCACAGAGAGATGAAACTAAACTTATTTTACACAGGCCAAACTATGCATTGCGTGTGCACGGCCTTGTGTCCCCTGTCAGCATGAACATGCAGGAGCAACTAAGAACATCTGCAATGAACTAAACATGCACCGTGTTTGAACAACCTACAAAGATTCCTTGCACAGCTCTCAGAACACAGGTTTTACTTACAGTTACACTGTTAACATTCTGAAATTTTACATAGCGAAGCTGGACAATACCATCCTCTTTAATATCATCTGGTGTCAGCTCCAGGGCTTGAGTGGGTTCACTCCGCTCCGCCTCCTCAAAATCCATAGATCGAGGAAGGTTAATAAAGATTTTTATGTACTTTGGACCTTGCCCTGTGTTAAAATAAATTAGTTACTTTAAAAATGCAGCCTGTAGGATTCAGGTATTTAAATACAAGTTACCACAAACTGACATTTAGGTCCCTGCATATTCCCTGCCACCACCCTAAAAGCCTTTAATAGTTTCAGCATCCTAATTTGCTAATCGTATAGCAACATCCTAGATATTGCAGAATATCTGCAGGTGTTTTCCCCATCTGGGTTTGTGCACCAGTTTCAGGGAAGAAATCCAAATAAAAGTTTGAAATCAACCCCTCTGTCACAGAACACCTGAACCTTTTATATAGTTTTGCTGCCTACCAATTATGCTATACATTTTAGTAGGTCTCTCATATAACTCTTCAGCTAATTGTAGGTTTCTCCTTACAGAAAGTCAAAATATAATAAATATTTATATTTGTGTCACAGCAAAAGTACCAGATCAGCATAATATTAATGCAAGACTGTTATCACCCAATTCGTGAACACCAGTTTTACTGAAGCAGAGAGCATACAGTTCCAGGAGCAACGGCTTCATTTTTAAGGAATTTCAGTCACATACAGACAAAGCTTTTATCTAGAATGTGATTGAACAGACACACTTCACTCACCGTTATCTGGCCCCTGAAGTTTCATAGAATAAAGCTTGACAGGTTGACTAAAAGCTACAGTAATAAGCAGCTGTGGAGGGGAAAAAAAATGGTTTTAAAATACTATTTTCTTCATTGATAAAAAGCACAGTAGTTAATCAGAACTAAGGGTGAGCTCTGAAATGGAATTATTTACATTCCCTGTGTTTCACACACACACACGTGTGTCACTAAAGCATCAGGACATGCTCTGCTGCTTTGGCACTTACACGGAAAAGGGTGGAAACTTGGCCATGCTGCAGCAACCTCAGTACATGAGTTTTCCTACTATCCTACCCCCTCTCCCACTGCTGTTTCCACTGAATTAAGGGTACAAGCTCTTCCCAGACCATCCCTGCCGAGGCCGGAGGCGGCTGCGGTACCTGCTCGTCGCAGTCGGATTCCAGGTAGGCAGCGTCTTTGCGTAAACAGTTGTCGAAGCCGTGCTCGTCGCTCTCATTGAGACACTCGCAGCCAGCCTTGTTGATGAACGGCATCAAATCCATCTGGAAGGGAAAGCGAGAGCGCTGCTGAGCGCGGGGGACGCGTGCCGTGCGCTTCCCAGTCACGGCTGGGCTTGGGTTTATCCTGTTCGGAACCCAATGAAGTTTTTCCTCTCTATTCAGAACACGAAAATGGACAGAGGGGTAATTTTCAGATACACTTTTGGGGAACAGGGACAGCACCAAGTCCTCACGCTGCAACATCACCAATTGACATTAAGATTGCAGCTGTGATCCATTTAATGGAAAATCCTGAAAGAGGCCTCCTCAAAACATACTATATCTTACAGAATAAATGCAAACACCATCACTACAGCTATCACACTCCGTTTGCAAAGCTGGCCTATCCTCCCTGCCCTGCCAAGCCCAGTATATGAATTCACATTGCAAAACCCAACCCATGTGTTAGGGTTACCCCTATATTAGGGTTAAAGCTCAGGAGAGCAGAAAACAGAAGCTATTTGACTCACCACAACCTACTTGTCTTTACTGCAGAGCTCTTACAAAGCACCCAGCTAGGAGCTCTGGTGGATACGTAGTGACAGGTCCCTATGCATGCTATAAAGACCCAGCCCTTCGAAAGGTAATAAAATACATTTGCCTCAACACTATCTAAAAAGAATTAAGACGCATGTGAACCTCACATATTTGCCAGTTACTTCAAAGATATTCAGTGTTTGGAGCTGCAAAAAACGAGCAAAAGTAATGAGCAAAATCTCTCACATATTTGCCAGTTACTTCAAAGATTTTCAGTGTTTGGGGCTGCAAAAGTAACGAGCAAAATCTTTGTCTTCTGGATTTCACCTTCATTGTACAATGTATCCCGGGGGGCAGCGCAGTTCAAGTGCCCCGTGCTCTTATTTAAATGAGAAATATCCCGTTGGATTTGTATCCTGCTTGCATTTACCACCAATTTCAAACATTTGACCTCCAGAGAAACCTGGTTTTGCGTTTGGCTCCGCCAGAACAAGAGGCCTCTCGTTTCGAGGACGACGTTACACCGCGGAACGCCACCTAAGGTGACAGCTCCAGGAAAGCGTTTTGTCACATCAGGGCTCTCATTTACACGTGTTTGTCAGCGCAGCTGGCAGGCACGCTCAGGATTTGCCATGCACAGTTGCCTTGAGGTAACTCATGTGGAATACAATGGAAGTAGTTTCCTGAGAGCACCAAACATTTCTGATTGCTCCATGATTGAAGCTCCAGCCAGACCTTCAAATTTCCCTTTTAAGTTCTGATTTCTCTAGCAGACACGTGCATCTCACACCATCATGAAAATCTACTCATAAATACTGCTTCTTTAAGGTCCTGTTAAATGCTCAGAAGAAAAAATTTAAAGAAAACTTTAGGGTTAATTGAGTTTTTGATGCAAGATTTAAAGTCATGCAGTTTGCAAACGTATTTATGTATAATAAATGTATTTTATTTTCGCTTTCCAGTCTGTAGTTCATTCACTAACAACTCAGCAACTTCAGCTAAGTGCTGATGAGAAAGCCAAAACTTAAGACCAACTATATTTGCTGTCTTTGGCCAAACCAGGAAGGAGAAAACATTCAAAATTCAGCTTTGTTTATGATGCACCCATTTTATCATTCTGTAGAACAACGCAAAGAAAACTGTTGAAAAATACTGCTATGGAGTTAAAAATACTGATAAAATATTGATGTGCTAACATCACACATTTATATCAGTATTTGTCAAATTTACATTTAACTTGATGTGGAAGAAAAGTATTTCAGTTATCCTTCTCTCTACTGGTTATTTAAAACTTTCACATTAAGGGGCAGGGAGAAAACATCTCAGATTTATTAATGCAGTTGATTTACAAGGAGAACGGAATCACCCTTTGGAAAATTTAGCAATGACTAAAGCTTTATGAGGTGTTCTGACTAGGATCAGAAACCTACATTTTAATGGAAAAGCAACCTTTAGTTTGTCAAAACAGAAGAAGAAGTTCCTGAGACGCTGTCACGGAGGCAACGTTTCAATTCCAGCAGCTACCTGAAGGCCTCCCCAAGTTCCATCCTGCAGGAATTGGTGCTGACACCTCTCAACACTCACGACCAGCAGACAGGAATGAGAGCAAGGCCAAGACATCCTTGGTCAGTGCCTGACCAGGGAGCTGCTGAAAACTTGTGAAAGCAAAAAGGAATCCTTGCCTGACACTCACACCAGGCACATCATCTTCTTCAAGGATTTGTATGGCATTTGGGATTCTATATCCTCTTAAATTCTTTCCAGAGAATGAAGAATTAAAAAAAAAAAAAAAACCAACACAGTTCCATCTACTTCTGGAAAAGGTTAGAAATTACGCACGAGAAAAAAATCCTAACATGTTGTTTATCTAACAGTACTCCCTGAAAGACACAACATTTCAGGGCTGGAGGATAAGAGGGATCCGGACTATTATAAAGGTTAATTCCTATAGGAAAAAAAAAAGGATAGTCATTTTATTTCCCCTCAAACAAATCCATACCTTATTTTGAATCACTGTTGCAATATGCTACACCCGCTACTTCCTGTATATTGAATATCAAGAAGAGAAACAAAGTTTGGGGGTTTGTACTTGGTTGAGGGGACTGTGATGAAGAGAATTAAAGGGAAAAAAAGGAAGGGAAAGGAAAAGTCCACATAAACCTACCGTCACCAAAGTAACAGAAGATTTATTATGAAATTCACTGTTTTAACCACCAGCATCTTTGCTTGGAAATTTTTAGTACAATTTACAATGCTACAACGTTAACCTTTGAATTTTGTCTGGGTAGGGAAACCCAGAGAAAAGATCTTCCCAAAGTCTTGCAAAACTTGCACTGCTGCTTAAATTATCTGTGTGACCAGTATATGTTTAGAAAACATATGATTTTTCATGCTCTAAATTTATGCAAATGTGTAAAATAAAAACAAATAAAAAAGAGAGAGAGAGAAGATGCATACATATCCTTTGGGGATATCTGTGTCTTCGTTGTTTCCAGGGTCATTCTCCAGGTGCTGTTTAATTTTTTCTTCTAATCCTACAGCATCTGCTCCTTGATACTGGTCGATTCGCACTTTGTTTCGGAAAAACAGAAATGTTGGTGTTGCTGATATATTATTGGTAGCAGCTGTTCCCTGGAATGCATAAATTAGTACAAGTGTTACCTAACAGACTAATATTAGACAGAAACACAGGCCTGCTTCACTTAAAGATGTGCATATTACATGTTAATCAAGTTTCACCACCTCACATGTCACAAACAATACTTGCTATTTTATAAACAGCTCTAACACAAACGCCAATTTTAGATACATTCCTCATTTTTTCTAATTCTTTACGCAGCGGGTTATTCTTTGAAGAGGCTTCAGCTAATAAAAGATTTGTTAGTACAACATAAAAGTCACTGTATTGCCTTGCTCTAAAAAGCAGCACCTGTATCAAGGCAGGGGGCTGCTCCACTTAACACTCCTATTTCACAAGCTCCTCTTTACTGTTTTCCCCCTCTCCTCCCCAGGCCTCATTTAAGCCAGGACGTTGCAGTCTCCGGGTGACAGTGACTTCCATTCGATTCCTACCTGTATTTATATTTGTTACACATCCATAGTAGTGTGTTCTTTTCCACAACTTCGTATAATTTAGTGTCATTTGCAAATGAAGTTACTATTTCATATTCCTCTTTCTCCATTACTGTAATATTTGTAGTAATTCAAGACACTGTATGTTAAAACAGCTTTGTGCAGCATTTCAGAGGTTCCTAGCCCTTCTGATCGTATCTGTTTAATACGTTTCTCATTTGGATCAATAACTATGCTAGAATTTGTTTAGGAAAATTTAACCAAGATACTCTTTTTAATTCACACTTGCATTATCTTACACACTTTACTGCATGTGCAGAAGCACCAGTTAAACTGTCTGCACACTATTTAAATGAAAGAGATCCAGAGTGCAACTGCAGGAATACTTTCTAAAGTGAAGTGTAGGCTTCCACATCTCAATGCAGATCCTCATTTTGGAGGCTTTACATTGCAGCTATTCATGACTCACAAAACTCATAACAGCCACAGTCTTTTAGGATACTATTTGAGCAATTCTCCTTCGTTATCTACTCTCTTACAGGGTCTAATTTCCCAGCTAAAGGTGTATTTTGAATACCCACCTGGCACTGGTGTACGTCCACCTCCAAAAAGGTTGCCTGAGGATATTTGTTACTCAGGGCATTGAAAGCTGGGGCTATCCTTAAACAAGGGCCACATCTGTGAAAACAAAACAAGTTAACACAACCTTTTTTTCCTGAAAAATCCTGGCCCCAAACCAAACACACATTCATGTTCTTATCCCTGGTCCATGTGAAATAACTTCCCTACCTGGCTGACAGATGGCGAGCGATCCTGGTGATACCATTAAGACTGACATTTAGAAACACATCACCAAGTGTTAATCCCCGTTTCCTTAGACGGCCTCAACGTGACACGATCACCTGCACCTATTAATTAAGACTATCTTCACGTTTTCTGTCTGGCGTGTTTCGTTCTAGCACCTTTCCCTGCAAAGCCTTTCTAAGTAAAGACGAGCAGCTCCCGACGGCTTTCCCTGACAGCAGCAAAATCCTCTCTCAATGCCAAACACCAACACACTGAGAATTTTATGATTCCTACTGAAGGTTTATTATGGTAAAACTCATTTACTAAACTGTTTACCGGTTATTACCACACTCCCTAGGCCACGGTACAGACCTGGCTTCTGCCAGCACAACTGTGTCAGCCTGGGTTAAGATACATATTTGTTATTGAACAAACCGGTGGTGACATGATACATGTATGTTGACAGGAAAATAACCTTACAGCTTGGCTTGCTGCAGAAGAAGCGCTTAAAGAGAACAATATTAAACAATATATAAATCTGAGCTATGCTGTCTCTAGAGCAGGCTGCTCTGTCCATACAGACCTGCCAGCACAGAGGGCTGCACAAGAGCACAAACGAGGCCCAAACACCTCTTCCTGCTCTCTTTTTGGGGGAAAACACGAATCCAGAGCACTCTGGCACGGCAAACCTACAGCCACTTGCAGCACCACGCCAAGGCGCTGCCTTCAACCCCTTCCCTGGCTCAGCTGGAAGCTCTTCAGTTTTGCAGGCGCCTGCAGAGGGGTCTCCAGTTTCTGGTCATGCTCGTGCGGCAGCTCTGCGGTGAGCGGAGAGGCTGACGGCCAAGGGACACACAAATAACCAAAACCCAGGAAGCAGACGTGAAATGTAACCTAGCAGGCACGGCGATGGCGGGTTTACGGGTGGAATGGATGATCCCGAAGGGCTTCTCCAACCATGACGATGCCACGATCAGAAGGGTTCCCTGGGACCGCGACTCGCCCTTCACGACGGCGAGGCGGGAGCCGGCGGCGCTCAGCTCGGGCTGGAACTCGGTGTCGTTGGCGATCACCTTGACGCCCACCATCCTCCCGCCCGGCCCGGCGCGGCACGGAACGGCCTCCCTCACGGCACGGCCGCGGCGGCGGCCTGGCGATCTGCACCGTCACGGCGCGCCGCGCGCCCGGCATGCACCGCGCCTTCCGCCCGCCCCGCTCCCGCCATCTTGGTTGAGGGCTACCGGCCATTTTGGGTGCGGGCAGCCGCCAGGGGAGGCGGAAGGGGCGCGGCCGCCATCTTGGTTGAGGGCAGGGCGGGCAATCTCTGTAAACGCCGAAGCAATAAAAATAATAAATAAATAAAAAAATCTGGTAAAAATTACTCCTTTCTGCCGTGATGTAATTCCACGGGATTTTGACCAACACGGGCTTCGGAATTTAGTATGCTTGGAAAAATCTCTATTCTCTTGCTGCATGATGGGGCATTCCCGCTGCCTTGCGAGTCATGTGACTGCAGGGAGGCTGCATATACCTCTATATATACACCCATACATACCTACATATATATATGCATTACCTCCGTCAAAACGTCTCTACATAGTCACAACGTTTATTGGTACCGTTATATCCCAGATTTGGGTTGAAATTGTTAATTCGGCAGCGATGGAAGTTTGGGGTGGGTAAGCTTGGTGTTTTCCCTTCAGGGTTCAGGGAACATGGCACACGGTGGGGGGAGCACGGTGTGTGCCAACGTGAAGCCACCTGCGAGCTCATGTCACCGTTTTAATTAATCCTGGCGGGAGGATTAATTAATCCCGGCGAGGAGGGGACGCTCCCGGGGAGCTGCCGGGGTATCGTTCCCTCCCGAGCAGTCGTGAGGTGTTGGCTGTAAAACCGGGAAAAACGGGAAAACGCGGCACGAGCAGCCCGTCCCGGCGGCGGGGAGACGCCGGTTGGGCGGCCGAGCGTTACTGAGTCAGTGACGGGATGAGGGACGGATCGGGAAGGGGAGGCGGGAATCGGGCCCGGACCGCGGCGGGGCCCCGGGCCGCCCCCCGCCC